TGATCATCTACTCTCTATCTCCCCTAAACTAAGTATTTACTCCATTTGATAATTTAACTAAGTACTTTACCCATTTGATAATTTTAACTGTCACCTCTTACCCAGAACCAGAGCACTCACTTCCTTCAAATTGCTCAAATCCTCCCAATTTGTTGAGTCTACTGATTTTCTCATGTTTTCATTCCCTCCGCAAAAGAGATAATCCATTGTTTCACTTTTTTTTCTTGAGACAGAGTCTCACTTTGTCACCCTTTGGTAGAGTGGCGAGGCGTTATAGCTCACAGCACTCAAACTCCTGGGCTTCTGCGATTCTCTTGCCTTGGCCTCCCAAGTAGCTGGGACTATAGGCACCCACCCCAACACCCAGCTATTTTTTAAGAGACAGGGTCTGGCTTTGGCTCAGGCTGGTCTCGAACCTGTGAGCTCAGGCAATCCATCCTCATTGGCCTTCTAAGGGCTGGGATTACAGGCGTGAGCCGCTACTCCCAGCCCTAATGTTTCACTTTGAACTCTCTAATTCCATTAACCCTCCATGAGTCAACCCTTGAAAATTCTTGCCATTCTTCCTACATCTATTTCCAGGATTAAGAGAACTACTGGGGAATGACAAAAAACAAAGCAAAATTGATAAAACTGACATACCAACAGTTTTTAAATGCCTCAATTTCCCCATTGCTACTAACTGGCAGTCTTTCTGTTTGCCTCAAATTCCTAAGCATAATCTCCACTAAGATTAGAACTACTTTAAAATTCAATATACTTTTCTCACAAAATCCACCCCTTCAATGCTTTACAACCTTAAAGTTCAATAGTTATTACTGATGAGTTCAACAATTATTCTGCCAAATTAGAAAATATGAAGCCTAAATTTCCATCTACCTCTCTATCTTAATATGACTGTTATTTTCCTTGCCCCATTACATCAGAAAATGAGATTGTTGTTCTTTTCCTCTGAAAATGAGTTTACCACCTACTCTGAGGATTCCCTATTATTCTGACTTTTCAGTGACTTTGTCCCTGCTTCTGTCCTTTTGGCAAAATCTACTCCATCAGCTCCTTGATGCTATTGGATTTGACAAGAGTAATGAACCACATTTTTATTACATTCTCTTTCACTGACTGCTATCATGATATTTTCCTAATTCCAGTTCTCATTCCACACCCCAAATTGTGCTTAAGCTGGTTTTTCATTCTCTTACCCTCAACACTCTCCCCTACTCTAATCTTTCTACCTCTTTTTTTCTGTCTACTGGAGAATGGGGCAGGGGAAGAGAGAGAGTGGAGAAATGGAGGCAAGATAGGGAGAATATTTCTGCCGGCAATTTGTCACTTTTCACATATATAGAGATAACGTTGAGACTATTATTTTCTACTATCTATTAAGAACTTGTTTCTTCCCATAACTGAAACCGTTCTCACAAAGTGATAAAGGGGTGTAAGGCAAGAGCTAGAGTAAGGGTACCAAAACTCTGTGAAGGAACAGGCCTAGCTAAAATAATGATAATAATCAGTCACTCTCCCCTCGTTTGCTTGGTAATAGTCATTGTCCTCATGTTTGCCTCTCTATAATTGTTATGCTAGAGGGCACAGGTGTTGGCTGTAAAGATATTTAACTTTTCTCCATAAATAACATTACCAGTTCAAAGGTAGTTTTTGCGATTTCTAGGTCCCGCATTCCAGTGGTTTGACTGACCCACCCACACCAAGAAACTGACTCAACTGGTCTTGAACCCCAACTCAAGGAACCACATTCCAGTGGACTGGCTGACCCACCCAGGCAGCAGCCCATACCAACCAAAGAACTGATGATTTCAACCTGAAAACAATCAATTAGCAGACCCTGACTGCCTAATCTTCTGCCCACAAAACTGTCTTTAGAAACCCTGTCTCCCCAATTCTCAGGGAAGTGGATTTGGGAGAATTCTCCCATCAACCCATTTAGCACCATGAGGAACAAATCCTTTCTCTGCTGTGAACTCTGCTGTCTTAGGATACTGGCTTTGTTTGGGCAGTGGGGAGATAAAGCTGGCTGAGTGGCAACATAACTACTATATGTACATATATACAATAATTCCCCAATTCAATTTTTCTCTTTAATTTTGGCCTCCTTCTGAGACCCAGTCCAGGCTTCTAGAAGCATAAATGGACATCCTATCTAAAAGAGCTATCCTCATCAATTCTCCCTGATATTTTCTCACTACAATCTGATCTCTAGCCTAATCTCAAATTAAAGAATTGCTCTCTTCATGTCATTCCTTTATCCAGCAATTTTTAACAGCTCTATTATCAGCTATATATAAAGTCTAAACACCTTTACCACTGGCTGTCTGAAATCTGACAACTACCGTCACATTTACTATTTTTATCTACTACAGCATTTCTCAAACTTTTTGTTCTTAGAGACCCTTACAGTCTTAAAAAGTATGAAAGACCCCAAAGAGCTTTTGTCAATGTGAGCTGTATTTATCAAGATTTACCATATTGGAAATCAAAATTAAGAAAAATTTAAAACACAAGAATACATAGGCATACAGTCTACCTTCAGCAATGCCATCTCACATCATGCAACCTGACACTTGAGAGAGAATGAGAATGAAAAAGGCAAACAGGGCGGTGCCTGTGGCCCAAAAGGGTAGGGCCCTGGTCCCATATGCCAGAGGTGGTGGGTTCAAACCCAGGCCTGGCCAAAAACTAAAAAAAAAAAAAGGAAAAAGGCAAACATCTTAGCATTATTATGAAAATACTTTTGACCTCTGAAACCCCTAGCTCACTTTGCCAATACTGCTCTATTTTGCTTCTCTTATCCATCTCCATAACAATTGTTAATATTACTTACAACTAATATTTGTGTGCATCAATAGGCTAGAGGCAGAAAAAAGGCCGAGAACCACAGATTTATAAAATAATCTCCAAATTTAACTGCATGCCTGCTCCTTCAGTCTGACCCAACCTGTAGGTTTTATTTACTGCTATTACCATTTCCTTTTCTTCCTACACTGCATTTCAACCAAGTTTGGTGGTCACAAATAGAACAAACCCTTTTCTGCTTCAGTACCTTTGAATATACTAAATATAAAGGCCTTCCCTCATTCATCTTTCAGACCCAGTTCACAGGCTATCTCTTCTATGAAGTTGTCCCATCCCCAATTACCCTTTTTGCTGTAGTACCATAACACATGAGAGTTTCTCATGTTGCACTGTTAATGATTGTTTGTACATCTGCCACACTACTAGATAGTAGCTAAACAAGAGCAGACTTACATACATATATCTTTGCATTTTGTAGTACCTCACACATAGTGGGAACTCAAACATTTGATCATTCTCTTGAATGTCTGAACTTGAACTGAACTTAATCTTGAATGACTCAGCTCAATGTTCTTCTATCCACAAAGTCCATATCACAATACTTGCTCCTTCCTCTGAAGGTTTGCAGTACTATATAGGAACTAAGAAAATAAAAAAATACTAAAGGAAACTAATAGTTATTCCTTTCTACAAAAAAGACTGCCCCGTAGGACCAAGTCTAACTCCCTAATCAAGGGCATCCATACAGTAGCTCTTCACCTTTTCAATCTTATTTTTTATTATTGTCCAACATAAACTCACCACTCTCATCATTTAATAAAAACATATGCACACACTATCCATTCTATTTTCAATTCCTTTTGTTTATACTCTTCTTTCCCCCAGGAATTCCATTTCCTTGTTCTAAATTCTCTTCCTTAAAAGTTTGGTTCAAGACCCACAAATTCTCTATGCCAGACCAAAGGAAAATTTCCCTTTTTGGATATCTGACGGGTTTCCATTTGTTTCCTATAACCTAGTATTTATTGTTCTTTAACAGTTTCAAGTCAGTCAATGTTACAACCCCAGAGAGCTTGACAGCCCTTCCAGAGCAGGCACTATCTTCTCTGAAAACATCTGAGTGTCATTATGCACCAGATAATGGCAAGATTTCTAATCTTGTTTCTTTTGTGTCAGCCCTTGCTAGTTAACAGGAAGATGAGGGCATGAAATAAATACTATTCCTATTACTGATTTTCTTCCTAACTGGTTAGAATAATACAGGATTTTTTTTAGGGAACATTTTATCTACAGATATAATTAACAATTTGAAAATAAAATATGTGTTATGAGATACACATTCTCAGCACCCTAAAACTGTGAGCTTAAATAAGACACTTTATTTACACTCTCGAGTCCTCAATATACATACTGTTGAGAGCTTTTTTTCTCCTTCACCTTAGATATATCTTTTCTTATTTCAGTTGTTGCAGTTTTAGCTCCCTTACCACATTCTGATGCATGGATACTGGTAATAATGCCAAACCATTCAAGTAGAGCCAAATTAATGAGGCAAGTACAAATCATGCATAAAATGAAAACAGTCTTTGAAAACCAAGAAGTTATGGTAACTGGGTCTCAGACCAATGCTTTTCCTTAAATGGAATTTGTCTAAAGAGCCACATCTTCCCTATCACCATTCCTGAAGTATCTTCGCCCAAATGGGGCAAGCATCAGTTGGAAAATAGAGTAAACGTAACCATCACAACTTAATCCATGATTAAGGTGGATTAAGGGACTGATGGTAACTTCTGAACATCACTTTCTCCAATTCTTCACTCTTTTGTATATGTGGTGAAAGTTAGTAATAAGGAATAACGTCAGGAAATAAAGTTTAAAATAATCGTAACGTTTAAGATGCTCTAAGTCCTTCTTGTTTAAATCAACCACGACTTAATGTTGAACTCTTAAATACTACAAGGAGACTTGAGGTTGGAGCAATTCTTTCTGAGAAAGAAAGATAGATAGACAGACAAATAGACAGACAAACAGTATTATTTCACCATGGAAGTTCTGGAATGAATTTCATTCAGGAAGGTGACTGATGAATGAGAAAAGAAAAGGATGAAGTCATCACCTGACATGCAGCAGCTCCCTCACTCCGTTTTCTCCCTCCCCAAAAGCTGTAGGAAGTAAAAAGCTGCAGAATGTACCTTCCAGGCCAGGAGCAAAACATTGAGGATGGCCAGCAAAGGGCAGGGTCCATTTTCATTCTGGGTGATGATGGGTGTGTTCTCTTCCTTCCACTGGATCCACTTGATGTGATACACAGATTGTCCTGGGAAGCGTTCCTTGGAGGCCGCCAGCACCTGAGCGGTCTCCGCCTCCTCCTCCTGGCAGAGAGGGACAGCCCCAGGCACCGCCGCCGCCGCGCACTCCTCCTCCTCTGGGACCCTGTTCTCCGCTCCCTCCTCACTATTGAACTCAGAGCTACTGGGGAAAGAATGCAGGTTAGAAAACGACTCCAGGGAGTCCAGGCTCGGCGATTCCCCAGGAGGGCTTGGGTCGCTGCAACTGCTGCTGAGGCCGCCCGCGCTGCTGGGATCTTCGGAGCCAGAGGTCGCCAGCTCTGTCCGGCAGGTGCCGGCAGGATCCGGGCGGGCTCCCGCGTCTCCAGCCGGACCCAACCCATGACCGACTCCGGCCTCGGCTGTCTCCGGGGAGGCGGTCACCTTGTGCTGCCCTCTCAGAGGTGGCCTGGCGGCAGCAAGACTCTCCAAAGCGCTTTCCTGCACGCCCAAGTCCGCGAAGAAGCTGCAGGGTCCGGGAACCTGAAGAGAGCCGGCGGGAGAAGCCGAGTCCGGGAGGCTCCGCTCGGCAGCCGCCGCCCCCTGCCCATTCCCGCCGCCGCTCTCCGCCGCCCATACCCCAGGACCATCCCCAGCTGCGAGCCTTGTCTCCGGTTGCCCTTCCTGCAGAGAACCTGTCCCTGGCGCTGGCCCGGCCGCCACCCTGTCTTCTAGCGGCTGCAGACTTTCGGGGCCGCTCTCCATGCCGGGCCTCCCGCCCCTCGCTCTATAGAGACCGCGGCCGGTGCTCCTCAGCCAGCGCCTCCGACGCCATGACAGCGGCACTGGCAGCTACAGCGCCCTAGCGCGGCCTCGGCCAGGCACGTCACCGGGGAGGGCTGTGAGCGCGCGCGCGCGCGCCGCCGCGCTCCCTCCCGCTAGGGGCGTGCCTCCGCGTGACTGCGCGCGGCTCCTCCAGGCGAAGGCGAACCAGGCAGCAGCCACCCACGGGCCCCGCCCCTCCCGCGCTCTCGCCGGCGCTCGCGCTCTGACGGCCGGGCGTGGCGGGCGTGGTCAGGAGGGCGTGGCCAGGGCGCGCCCCCGCGGCTGGGTTCCAGTAGGAAAACATCCTCTCACTATGTGGCCGGAAGTTGAACTCACGGGCAACCCGGCCGAACGCGGCTTCTTTAAAGGCAAGGCTGGCAGCCAACTGCTTTGCTGTGACCCTTTAGCTGGATAGTGGGTGGCCCAGCCTTAGGCTCGGGTATGGAGGGGCTAGAGGTGGTTGTAGCATTTGGAAAAGAGCTTGTCTTTGAAGGGCTCGAGAGACTTGTTTCCCTAGCTTGTAGTACGGAAGATTGAAGGCGGGGATCTGTTCTGGGTGATGTGCTTCTCACCAGCTACTGGTGAAACGTTTGCCCTACAGGAGGCGTCAGTGCGGTTGTGGACATTGGCCTGCAAAGCAAAAGAAAGTGGGTGATTTGGGCCAGTAATAATAAATTAGCTTGTGTTTGAATTAGCCAAGTCTTTGCGGTGTTTTGCTAACTTGGCTTCTTCACTTTGCTTGCAGTGGAAAGCGCTTGCTCCTGAAAGTGATTTGTTTTTGTTAGAATTGACTCCTTTAAGGCCATGCAATTTTCAAAGATTGACATCTGAAAGTTTCGTTGGTAACAAATAAAATGTATGTGCGTCCTTTCTGACTTGTTCCGGAAAATAACTCCTTCTCCCCCTTTTTTCTTTCAATTTTCTAGGCTTTGGGGACACAAAAATCAAGACAGATCTTCCTTAACAGTCAGTCATAAATACTTGATACATAATAGAATGTGATGTTTTTGTATTTCTGTGAATTAGAAAAAGTAGACAAAATAACAAAGCAGTATTTCATCTATTCACCTAATACAGTTTAGAACAAGTGCGTTGCTGGTGCTGTTTGGCGGTGAAGACGCCATGGTAGATCACAGAGCTATTATGTTTGTGGGGCTTACTGTTTGGTGGGTTTTTCTAACTGCTGTATTTTTAATATGTACTTGCTTGAGAAGTACATTTTCCTGAGAATGCAGAAAATCAGTCTCTGACTCCCTTTTTAACATTGTCTACTATTGTATTTCTTCAACTCTTAGGAAACAGGATAATTAGAAAAGATTAATGGAGAGCTTCAGAATGGTGAATTTGTATGCTTTTGATCTCCATGTCAATCCATAAGCAAATCCTGCTGTTAAATTCTTTCCCCCCACCAAAAAAGTTGCAGATGTTAGTAGATCAAGATATATTAGTATACTGCTGAATCAAGCGCTTCATAGTTTAGAATATTATAGATTTCGGGACATTCACAATTCAGCATGATGCCTCAAATGTGAAAAGCAGATCTATAAAGCTTTGTTATATGAATAAATTGAATGAACAAATCATTTGTAGGCCAATGGACCACAGTACAACCAAAAATCATGTAGCACATTTCTCAAATAATAGCCATTCACTATTTTTCAAAAACTTTACTTAGATAAACCTGTACTTGCTGTGGTAGTTTTTATTGGTGTATGTTTCAAATGCTCATGTGCATAAATTAATACTTTATTTGTAACAAAAGGAAACAACCAATTTTCTTTTCATGTATGGTCAATAATTAACATAAGCCAAAATGAATAGCCATGAAAATATAGGTGGTTATTTAAGTTCATGAAAATGTACATACTACATATAATTTTTTTCTTTTTTTATTAAATGATAGCTGTATACATTAATGCAAACATAGGGTACAGTGTAGTGTTTTCATATACAATTTGAAGTATTTTCATCAAACTGGTTAACATTGACTTTGTGTCATTTACTTAGTACATATTATTTTTCTAAGAGAGGTAGGCAGCAGTACATATTATTATTCTAAGAGAGGTAGGGAGAATACCAGAAGACAAACTGATAGATACACTGTGTCCTTATTTTGCTTGTATGTATCTTTAGCCAAACCTTGAAGTAAGATAGCCATTTTAAAGATAAATGGTAACTACTGAAATTTGAAAAACTACTTTTCAAAGTTACAGATGTAATATTGTTATAAGCTAAATAGTTTATATGAATATGAAGCCATTCCCTGCTATATCCCTCCACACCCTTGAGTTCTTTTCAACTCATGGCTATATTTGTTTTAAGAGATGGGGTCTCAGTATGTTCCCACGCTTGAGTGCAGTGTCTATTTTGGTCTCCATCATGGTGGACTACAGCTTCTAACTCCAGAACTTAAGCAATCCTGCCACAGCCTACTGAGTAGTTGGGACTATAGGTATGCTGTGCTTACCCCTCATAGCTGTTTTTTAGCTCCTTATCCCCATACTTCTGAGGAATATAATTACATTTTCTTCATTTAAAAATTATAGATATTGGCTTGGTGCCTGTAGCTAAATGGTTAAGGCACCAGCCATATGCACCAGGGCTGGTGGGTTTGAACTCGGCCCGGGCCTGCTAAACAACAACAATAACAAAAAATAGCCAGACATTGTGGTGGACACCTGTAGTCCCAGCTACTCAGGAGGCTGAGGCAAGAGAATTGCTTGAGCCCAAGAGTTTGAGGTTGCTGTGAGCTATGATGCCATGGCCCTCTACCAAGGACGACAAAGTGAGAGTCTGTCTCAATTAAAAAAAAAAAAAATTGGCTCGGCGCCTGTGGCTCAAGTGGCTAAGGCGCCAGTCACATACACCTAAGGTGGCAGGTTCAAATCCAGCCCCGGCCTGCCAAAAACAACAATGATGGCTGCAACCAAAAAATAGGCAGGCGCTGTGGCGGGTGCCTATGGTCCCAGCTACTTGGGAGGCTGAGGCAGGAGACTCGCTTGAGCCCAGGAGTTGGAGGTTGCTGTGAGCTGTGATGCCACAGCACTCTACCCAGGGGGACAGCTTGAGGCTCTGTCTCAAAAAAAAGAAATTATAGATATTGTTTGTTGATGTATTCCTCTGGAAAATGAGAATTTAGATACCTTCTCTCATATCATTATTCCTCCTATTACTCTAATATCCCACTTCTCACAATTTTTGATTGAAGTACTGAATGTTTAAAGCAGTAGAGTTACGTAAATATTCACCACTAAATGAGGCATTTTACTGTGATTTCTTTTTCTTGAGACAGTCTCACTATGTTGTTGTTGGTAGTGTGCAGTGGTGTCACAGCTCATAGCAACCTCCAACTCTTGGGCTTAAGTGATTCTCTTGCCTCAGCCTCCCAAGTAACCGGGATTACAGATGCCCACCACAACACTCGGCTATTTTTTGGTTGTAGTTGTCATTGTTGTTTGGTAGGCCCAGGCTAGGTTCAAACCTGACAGCTCCATTGTATATGGCTGGCGCCCTAGCTGCTAAGCTATAGGCGCTGAGCTGTGATTTCTTATTATACTTTTGGTTTTTCCTAGAATTTGCCTCATTATTTTGTTTGTTTAATTCCTCTACCACCAACTTAGCCATAGACTTACCAGTATGATCATATATATTAAGTTATATCTTGGTACAGTTTATTTTTTATTTTTTGAGACAGAGTCTCACTTTGTTGCCCTTGGTAGAGTGCCATGGCATCATAGCTCACAACAACCTCAAACTCTTGGGCTCAAGCAGTCTTCTTGCCTTGGCCTCCCGGAGTAGCTGAGACTATAGGCCCTCACCATAACACCTGGCTAGTTTTTAGAGATGGGTCTTGTTCTTGCTTAGGGTGGTGTAGCACTCTTGAGCTCAAGTGATCCACCTGCCTCAGCCTCCCAGAGTGCTGGGAATACAGGCCTGAGCCACCTCGCCTGGGGTTTTTTGGTACATTTTAATCTTAGATACATCTGTCCTGCCACCCTCACTTCTCTTGCTCTGATCCACACTTCTTGTTTTATCAGTCTCCTGCACAGCTGACATCCTGGGATTTTTCTTCATTATTTTCTTAGGAATTCCTTTGTCCTCTCCTTTATATTTATTTGTTTCTTGGAGCTCCTATTTTCCTCTATCTTTACTTTGGTAGAGCTGAGAAAGAGTGCAGGGGAAATAATTTTTTGTAGACTTTTTATGTCTGAAAAAGACAGATTTTCATTCTACCTTTACATTTTATAGTTTGGCTAGGTATAAAATTCAAAGTTGAAAATACTTTTTCTTCATTTTGAAGTCATTGGTCAATTGTGTTCTAGTTTCCAGGTGATTACAGAGAAGTCTGATATTTGTATGACTCCAGACCTTTGTATATAACCTGTTACTTCTTTTTGAAGTTTATTTGATTTTATTTGACTTTATTCTTGATGTTTTGACATTTCAGTATTTGGTATATCTTTGTGTGGGTGTTGCATTATCCGTTGGGCTGGTGATCACATTCAGTGTGGAAACTTATGTCTTTCAGTGAAATTTCTTATTTTTATTTCTTTGATAGTTATCTTTTCTGTGATTTTATATTCTTTTTTGTTCTATGTTTCATTTCCAAGAGTTCTGTCTCATTCTTTTTTTGTTTAATGGCATCCTGACTTTCCATCTTTTAGAATATTGATTATAATTTCTTTTTCCTTAGACTTCGCAGAGATGAAATTTTTTTCTTTTTTCTCCCCTTTCCTCTTTTTTTTTTTTTTTTTTTTTTTTTTGAGACAGAGCCTCAAGCTGTCCCCCTGGGCAGAGTGCCATGGCATTACAGCTCACAGCAACCTCCAACTCCTGGGCTCAAGCGAGTCTCCTGCCTCCGCCTCCCAAGTAGCTGGGACCACAGGCGCCCGCCACAACGCCCGGCTATTTTTTGGTTGCAGCCATCATTGTTGTTTGGCGGGTCCGGGCTGGGGATTCGAACCCGCCACCTTGGGTGTCCGTGGCTGGCGCCTTAGCCGGTTGAGCTATAGGCGCCGAGCCTCCTCTTTTTTTTTAAAGCAACTCCTGCCTCAGCCTCTCACATAGCTGAGACTACCCATGCATGGCACCATGCCTAGCCCCCTTATTAAGTTCAATTTTAAATGTGTCC